GTGTTTTGTTGTTGTCTCTTTCTGTGGTTCTGGAAAACCAGTCACACATACTTCCTCTTGATGTTATCCCACATATGCCTTATGCATTCTTTATTTTCCTTCCTTCTTTTTTTCAATTATTCCCTTAACAGATTATGTCGAAGGACTTTTTCGCCCTTAATAAGTCTGTTTTCTATTTCTTCAATACTCCATTTTTGTTCTTCTAATGTGTTAATCTTTTTTTGAAATGACCTCTATTTCAATATGCTGTTTTTTTATTGCTTCTGATTTTCAGTTTACTTTATGTTCTGTCTGTATTGTTCTTTTGAATTCTTGTCAATTTGTCTATGTTTTCCTGGTATTTTTCCCCCCAGCGGTATTCTCATACTTTTCTCAATCTGTAGAAGTCACTTAAGAATCATTCTTTTAAATTTCTAATCAGAAAATTGACAATAGCATTTCTTCCTCGAAAAGATTTTTTTTAGCTCTGTGTTTTGGTCACATTTTTTCCCATCTTATCCTTTAAAAAAAACTGTTGTATTTTTTTAAACAAACAAACAAAATCTAAGCAACTGTTTTAAACCTCTCTGTTGCTTCTTAGACATTTTGGTGGTGGTGTTTTTGTATTATTTTGGTTTGTTCTATCCCACTGATCTGTGCTGGTGTGTTGCTTTACTTACTAGTTTCACCTCTCTTCTGGTGAGATGGCAGAGAATGAAAGCTTGTGTGCAGTTCTTTGTTCACTGTTTACATAGGGCAATTGAGGGCAGACTGGGGTGGTGCAGGTTGCAGTGTTTGTTTGTGGATCAATTAGAGCAAGAGCTGGTTTTAATTTTATCTGATGGGTAAAGTTACAGGAGATGTCTATGTGACTGGATACTCTTTCTTATTTTGTTTTTATAATAACATTCTTATAGTTAATTATAACTACAAAAACATTTTTCATAAGCTTAGTTTATACATATTAGTATACCTATAAGGCTAAAACTCTACCCTAGTTTGGTTTTTAAATTTTCTGTTGTTCTGTGGCTCGAGCTGTCATTTTTATTCTAGTATATGATGTTCTGAGTCATGTGCCTTTGTCTGGATGCACTAGCAGCACATGCTGTTGTTTTCATTGCAGCAAAAATTTTTATAGTCTGTTATTTTATCAAAGTTTCTAGTGTTTTAGTCATAATATTGTGATAAATAGTATCTGTGAATCTATATCAATAACTTTTTTGAGAATGGAATCATAATTAAATGAAAAAGAAAAATTCTAAAAGGATTTTGCTCAGTTATTAGTAATGTTGTAACTAATAATGTAATACAGTTTAGAAATATTTCACAAAACAATGTTGTAATTATTGACATAACCTAAGAACTATTGTTGTTATTGTTATGTGCCATCGAGTCGCTTGTGACTCATAGCGACCCTATGTAAAACATCCCTGTCCTGTGCCAATCGCACCGTCTCCAACACACCCATCCCGATTACCCCAGTCACTGAATCAATCCACTTCA